GGGGGGGGGGCTAAATGTTGCTAAGGTAACGAGGCTGGATGGCAGCATGCCATAATTCGTTAAGGGAGTGTCTTTCCATTCATCTATAAGAAGTGGGTTGAGACTGAAGAAAATAACATTTACTTTTACTGCAAACCGGACATGGTCACAAATCATACATTTTACAATTTACATACATTTAAACATGAATAGTCATAAGCATACCCTTTAGTTTGTTTAATATACATTAAAACAGAACACATAATGTACAAATTAACTTAAATACAGGCACACATCAATATTAAATGGAATGCAAAGTTTAGACAAAGTAATGCCCAACTTTACAATATTAACACATAAATATGCAATGGAAGACTACAGGAGGCTAGCCATATCAAACATGGTCTAGAGTTTTGGTCCAAGTCCTTATTTACACCAAACAGTAGCAACACCCTTTTCAAGCATCTTGTAGCATCGCCAACGAAGGATTAAACTGTAAAACTACGGAAAAGCAGAATTAAGAGGCGAAACCAAAGTTGCAGTGCCAGTCAGTTGAACGAATGCTCCGGTGCCAAGACCTCCACACTGGTATAGTTAAATGAGGTTCCAAGAAGTTCCTCAGGTCCTGCAGTTGACGATCAGTGGAAAACTGCTTCAAGTGGAGCCTAGCTACTTTCACAATGGACCAAAGGCACCCTACTAATGCCCTCCAGGTCACATTCGATTCAGGGTTTCCAGCTTTCAGTATATCAGAAACACTGTTTCAGAGCTGTAAGTGTCCTCTTGGAGGTGCTGGCCCCAATGTAGTTCCTCTACGATGACACTACACAGGTCTTGTGATAGAGTTGAGAACTGTGCTTATGGAAGTCTTAGCTGGACCTCATTCAGTGTTAAGGCCAAAGAGCTGCCTTAAGCGATGTGCAAATATTTCCCCTTCCTGTGGGACATCAAAGTCAACCCGGTTTTCCCAATCCAAGGCTGTGACTACAGGTAGGAGTCCATGGAGGGGGCATAGGAGAAGCCAAGAAAAGCCTCAGCTGCCTCCTGGATGCTGGAGGTGACCAGGGCACTGTCCGGGGAGCAACCGATGGAGCTAGGGACAGGTTCATCTGTAAACTCTGGGTCAAAGTGCCTCAGGTCATTAGGGCCACTCTGCAACATGGGTAAACAAGGCATTAGGGATTTACGGCAATAGAAAAACCAACAACAGTGTAATATGTCTGAAACATCTGCATGCGGGGTCTTAAGCAAAGATCTCACTTACCACATTAGGGTTGAAGGGAGGTGTAAGTTTCTTGGCATTCAGATCATCCCAGTTGATTGGAGAGAAGAACATGTGGTCTTTGATCTCAGTCTGTTGGAAGAGCACAGATGTTACGAGGGTGTGCTTAGCCTTAAGTACAGCTGAAGGTGATGGTTTGGAGGGTAGTGAAGTGCAGTGCTCCTAACTGTTAGGCCTGATAGTAGTTATTTGGGGTGGGTGGAGGGAAGTACTTACAAAGTCCTGGCTGCAGCCCAGCCGCTTGCTGCGGTCCTTCTGGAGAAGGCCCTCCAGGAGATTGCGGGCTGCGTTGGAGATGTTAGGCTTTAGCTGCAGTGGCTTGTTCAGGATGTTGTCGTACATCTCAGCCGTGTTGCGACTGTAGAATGGAGGCTGTGGACACAAGACTGCAGGTTATCCTCTGCTCACCCAGACCACCTGAACTAAAATGTCATCAATACCTCAGAGATCCTGAGGTCACTGTGAAACTGCAGTGTACTCACCAAACCATACAGCATCTCATACAGCACAGCCCCCAGACACCACCAGTCCACTGTCCGGTCATAGGGCTGCTTGTGCAAAACTTCTGGGGCCAAGTACTGTACAACAGGAAACAGGGTCTCACTTTCAGGCTTCCAGCATTTCAAGCTACACAGCGATCACTGGAATAGTCAAAAGGGATTTAAAATTGAGAAATTAAGGTACCGTACCTCTGGAGTGCCACAGAACGTGGAGGTGGTTCCGTTGGGCTCGATGTTCTCCTTGCACAGGCCGAAATCCGTCAGCACAATGTGACCCTGAGAGTCCAACAGGATGTTCTCTGGCTTCAAGTCCCGATACACGATATTGAGCGAGTGCAGGTAGCCCAGTGCGCTGGCAATCTCCGCGGCGTAAAAACGTGCTCGTGGCTCCAGAAAGCAGCGCTCTCTCTGAAGGTGGTAGAACAGCTGGAAAAAAAGGGGAGGGTTAGAGGCTGCCCCACATCCAGGATCGCAGCAGACAGAATTAGCTGCCTCATGAACCAGGGACACAATTGGAGGAAATGACCTTGAGGTCCATGGACAACTTTTTCTTCCTTGCCCCCCCCCCCTCACACAAACTTTGCCAACCAATGCAGTTACTAAATCTGGAGAACTTCTGCCCGATCCCCACCCAGCAACATCCTGGGACAAATTATTCCCCTTTTAATGAGTGGCGAGAGAAAGAGGATCTATCACAGTTTCTCATGACAGGATTTCCCCTCGTGTCAGACTGCCTCTTTACCTCTCCTCCATTGATATAGTCCAGGACGAAGTAGAGCTTGTCTGCAGTTTGGAAGGAGTAGTGCAGCCCAACCAGGAAAGGGTGCTTCACGTTCTTCAGCAGGACATTCCTCTCTGACATTATGTGCTTCTCCTGGAATAACCAGAGGATAAGATTTTTTTTTTAGAAAAAACAATCATCTGAATTTTTGCAATGCATTTTAAAGGTAACCATGTCCTGACTTTAAGGTATACATGAATTACATGTTCAGGGAAAAAAAAGAAATTAAATGTTATATCAAAGCAATAAAAACAATGTGCTTAAATGTGTTTTTTAAAGTGATGCAATTTCACACTAAATTAGTAAATTACCTCCTTCTTTTTTAAGATGGCCTTCTTCTGTAACACTTTCACGGCATAGAACTGGTCGTCTGTCCGGTGTCTTGCCAGAAGCACTTTCCCAAAGCTGCCTTTCCCAATTACTTTGAGGAAGTTGAAGTCTGAGGGCTTGGCAGTGGGGTTTGAAGATGGTCCGAGGTTGATCTGCTGTGATGGACTTGGCTGTGAGGAGGCAGGGATGGAGGGAAGGGGGCAGGTTAGTGACCTTTTAAGGGACTGTAGCTCCCAGGGACCCCATGCATATGAGATACTTACAGGTGGAGAGGGGTTAGCATTCAACAGCTCAGTATCCTGAGGGGAGCCCATGTTCAGAATGGACTGGACTTCAGGGCTACAATAGGGCAAAAGGCAAAATGATCACTGCTGAGATCCTGCACAATGCTAACAGAGTCTATGTTCCACAAAGGAGAACAAACACCACTGTCCTCTACTATCTATGCAGGTTAGCATGCTTTTCAAAACCATATGTTGACTGAAACAGAGCACAAAAGCTAATAATTATAAAATTAACATTTACTTTTGAGAGACATTTTTAAAACACTTACTGTTTACAAGCGTATGAATTAGTAGCCAGCTTCTGAATGAAATCATTCAATCCCATTCTTCTCTGCTTCATAAAAGCTGCAAGGACAAAGAAATAAATTAATGGAAAAACATCCAGCATGCTTACATTCATAACCTTGAGAGTCTGAACTGTTAATCTTTCTTGTAAAAAAAAAAATAACTATGCATACCAGTAAGAACTGCAACAACTCCTCTCATTTTTGAATAAGTCATAGGCGACGAATCAGCCTCCGTGGTAACTGTCATTGCTCCACACAGGGGTATAGCAGTATGTCCACACCACTCAGCACGTTATGGTATACTGAACTAGACTGAGCTTCTGCCCTAATTTATACGACGGCAAGGTGCAGGCGCGCATAGTAATATGATCTGGCGCTTGCGTTCCCCGGGGCGTGTCTTAAAGTTGAGTAACACTGTCTTGTACGAATCATTTTCAAGGGTCCCCAGACATATTGTGCCCTGATTGGGGGGTATTCAAAACTTACACCAATCAGCGCCTAGCGCGCTGCGCTCTGTTGACTAAAATTCAGCTCCCTATTTCAATCACTTACGGGCCGAGCTCCGCCCACGGCTGACGTCATCACATACGGAAGCGTTCACAAGTTGATGCCGAAAGTACTAGGTGTTCTTTCTTGAAACTACTTAACCGGTAAATTGCAGAATAATTCACGTAAACAAAGTACGCGTGTTATGGTACACTAAAAAAGTCTGTAACGGGTTTTCGGGCTGCCAATATGCTATTCAAAAATAATTATTTCAATTAATCTAATAATTATTATCCCATAGTTACGGCAGCCATAACTGTATTTGCATGTTGCTTTTGGGTGGCGAATTAATTTAATGGCAGTAAAAAGCTTTTAAAATACTTTTAATATGCACATAATAAAAAATCTCAGGTTATTTATTTAATGTTTATATACATACAAACTATGCAAATATTACATTGCAGTCGCATTATTCCGAGACCACCAGATTTGAACAGAAAACGGATTTATATATTTCTGTAGCTAAGTTATTATTATTATTTGTAGTAACTGGTTGAGGACCGGTTTTTCGGGACTTGGTAACAATTTCAACGTCTTCAAGTGAAATATATACATACACACACACACACACAACTGTTAACAACAAAAGTAAAGACAAGCTTGACAGAACTAGATGTCGGCGGTGTTTATCCTGTATTAGCGAGAATGGAAGAACAGAACATTGCATAAGACCATTTGCTGTAGGCAAAGGACACGCATAGCTAACATGCCGTAATAAGCGCACCATAAATATGCATACATCACACTGAGTATAGGAAGTCTGTACTCGGCTCAAAAACACTGTCTCGCTGGATAAGGTGTGTTGAAGTGTTGAGTTTCCAGCCTGTATCAGCTTGCTATAACCAGTTAAAGGGAACCATATGACGCATGAGACCCGATTTATAGCAGGACGACAGGGACCCCAGTCCGGAGACCAGCGTCTGCACTGAATATCTCGGTGTTGAAATGTGGGCTACTACAGTTGTTCTCTCAAACGGTAGACATCGCGCAGTCATTAAAAAATGAACATTTCCTTTAACCACAAAGTCGTATGTTTGGCCACAAAACTGGATCGAAAACCGACAGATTACAAATGATTCAATTGTTGTAAGGCTACTTCTTAAAAGAGGCTACGTTTAATGTTAAAATACGGATAGTACACCTGTGGAACTGTTTCACGCAAGCCTGAGAGTAATATTAAATAAACTTATTTTAATAGTATCGCATTTATTACGTCCAGTGTCCATAGCAATTCGTTAAATATTGTTTTGGATTAATTCCGAATGTTGTCAATAAATTTTCTCCATTTTTTCTTTACCTACACATAATTGTCATGTGAAGTTTATGCGAAACTGCACTCTTCGCACTGGTTGAAAACGGAACTGCTATATTCTCGCGCAAACCTAAAAGTAACAGAAAAATGTAAGAATATTTATCAATTCATCAGTATCTATACCGGCTTGTCCTTTTCTGGGTCGCAGATGTACGGAAGCTCGAGAATACTTATATACATTTTAACTTCATTAAAAAATTGTAACTGTTATATCGCAAAATGGTATTAATTTCATAGGTATTACAATAATCGATTCGTTACAACTAACCTTTTAACTCTTCAATTCTCATTTTGCCTTCCTTTTCCTTCCTCGGAATGGCAAATCCTCTAGCTAATTCCTCGCAGGTAAAATGAACTCATTGACTGTCTCCGTACGTAGTCAACACCCATTATCTAGATATATTTGCATAGGTCTATGTAAGAATACTGTAAAACCAAATCAAATCTTGTAAAGTAAAACTGGGCGTACCATTAATGGATGTTATTTAGTTCATATAGGCTACTAATTAACTTGGGCTACATACTTTTTAGATCCGATTTATAAATCCAGCTATTTCTCAAAACGAATAAAGCCGATCAGAGAATTTAACATTCTGTTTTCAGATTCGCAGAGGTTAAAGAAACTTACATGTCAGTGTAGATCGTTTGTCTTTCATCTGGCAAGAGAGCGCCTGCAGACTCTCGGTACCTCTGGAGATTTGTGGAAGGAATTTGCGCAAGAAGTAACATTCCATTTCTCAGTAGCGCCGCGGCGGATCTCAGCCGGCGAGCACCGCCCACCCCTTTACTTTGTCCTCTGTTTCGGAAGAATGCCTCTGTGGCCAAGAATGCCGGCCACATATCCCCCAAATTTCAGTTCCATTTCAAAGGACGGATTTAATTAATTTTCCTATATCAACCGAATACCCCCACCGGTTAATTAAATTATAAGGAGCTATTAATAGAACACACAAGCGCTTATTTTAGCAAACAATGATCATTAAAATTCCTTACGAATAATGCACGACTTCAAAGTGAGCCACGAAACAGAAATTCCCATTTACCAAAACATTTTAGCCCCGCCACTGACATAATCGTTTTAAAAATGTTATTCTAGACAACTTATATCGACCGCAGCCGTGACAATGACCATTGTTAACACGAGTCATGAAATATGTGCCTTTGACATTGTGTTTGTGTTTTTAGGACAGATAAGCGAAACGGCTGTGAGGGCTTGAGCAGGACCAAGCCAGTTCTCTTTTAATTGATTTCTGTCACGCTTATTGTGGAAGCGCTGCCGAAATTACAGGCGTTCTTCATTGGTGCAATAAAACCCGTACTTTACTTGCAATGCAACTGAATTGTTTTATAATTCGTGTTTGGGATCATAGACTCTTCTTAGTCATCGTTATGTGTTTTTGTTTTTAAGGCAAGCAACTGTATTAATGTGCATGAGCAAATTCCAGTCATTATGGCATTTTTCTGCATCTTTTGGCTCATCTGGTAAACATTAGGCAAACAAACGGGTCCAAACTTCATAATTGTTTCTCCCATCCCAGAACTGTATCAGTCTTTTGATCATATACTTTTTGGCTATTTGATTTTATTTATTCTTATTTCTTATTATATAAGTTTGTGATTTAATCATCTGAATGAAAACAGTAATTTCCTACTCTGCAATTGGTACACATGGTGTATTTCAGTAAAAACATCTATTAAATTTTGCATCAAGCAGATCACCTATTATGAACTTTGTCAGTTTATAATAGTTCTGTCATATGTTCAGTACTAGATCTACAGCTACATTTTGACCTTCAGTGCAAAGAAGGATGGCCATTTTGGTTCAGTTACCTTGATGGAGGACACGGTCTAGCTGTACTGTATGCTAGTAACGAGAGCAGATTCAGTCTTTTTCACTGTTGGTAGCTGAAGAAGTTTCTGTCTACTGCCACTTTTTATATGCACAACAACATATGCATTGGTGTGTGTGTGTGAGATTTTTTTTTATTAGCTAAAGGCCTGCCGTGGTTTTGTTTGATTGTGATAAGTGTTGTGACATTTCAGTAAAGCTATCTTGAGTTGGCAAGTTCAGGGTTTCGTTACAATCAGGGCTGCATTGGATCAGTGAGGATCAAGGTGACATTTTAGTATAATTACACTTGATTGTTTAGCTTGAAGGCTACATTTCAACATGTATGTGCTGAATTTGTGAGGTTCTCCACTAGATCACCACAGATCCACCAGCACAGAGGCTTTATAGTGCCTGCTTTAACTTTTAACATCTTGTCTCAAATTTCCCACAACACAGGACAAATCTATTATTCATCTGAGGAAACTTGATAAAGCATTCAATATTCTCCTTAGGATTTAAGTGCAGATCAGTAATAATTAGATTTTGTGTGTGAAGAATGCAAGGCTGTGGGGCTCATTCATAATACTTCTGACAGAGTATTAAATATAAATTACTGGTATCCTATTGGGGGTTTCCCATCGAGGGTATCCCATCGAGGATATCCCATCGGGGATATCGCATTGGGGGTTTCCCATCGGGGGGATCCCATCAAGGGTATGCCCTGCCTCATGCCTTGTATTTTGATTGATAGAGTTCAGGCTCACATTGACTGTGTCCTGAAAAAGAGGTACAGATGGATGGATGGATCAATGAATCGATTGATAAAATGATAATTATATCAGATATTGATGGCCTTAACTAGCTTTCATTCTCTCCAATAAATGGTTTGGTGTAGACCTGCTGTCCTATGGGTCTATAATCATCAGATCAGGTTATGATGACATTTTAGATAGTGCTGCATCCCCACAACTGTATGTTGAAGGTTCTTTAGTACTCTTCTATGCTCAGGGTTGTTCAGTACTCTCATATGCTCAGGGTTGTTCAGTATTCTTGTATGCTCAGTGTTGTTCAGTACTCTTGTATGCTCAGGGTTGTTCAGTACACTCATATGCTCAGGGTTGTTCAGTACACTCGTATGCTCAGGGTTGTTCAGTACTCTTGCGCTTAGTTCAGAAAAGGAATTCATTCCACCTACATATTTTGGCTGAGCAGTAATGATGGGAAAGGCACCAATCAGTTTGCTATGTATTGTCCTATCCGTCAAGATCTTTATCAATACACATTCAAATGTTGATGAGGTTTAAAAACATGCTAAGCAGTTGGGTTTGTTCTGAAATTCCTCAATGGTTTTCAAAAGCAATAGTCAATAATCAGAGAACCCTGGCTGCTAAAAGCAGTCAGACTTATAGTGTTCCTACTCATTTCAATTCAGGTTGTTTTACTTTGCACCTTCCATGCCGGTTTCCTCCCCAGTACGGCCAGTCGAGCAGGCAGCCGGGAGTCTACATTCGGCGGTGGTAAGGCCTTCCCTTGGGAGCTCAGATTCATGAATGGGTGGAAACGGTTCTCCATAGGTCTGTAAACATTGCATAACTAGGAGAGCCATTCACTGATGCCAAACCCTTAAGTGAGGAAAGCCTCTTTATTTCCACAACAGAACGAAGCCGCGAGCATCATTCAGCTAACCGTGAAGCTCCCTTCCACATTTTGTGAACCAGCTGCAGTTCCAATACTCAAGGATGAACACCCAGTAATCTAATTTTAGGGTCCTTTAATTTTTTCTTTAAAAGTTGGCCTGATATACCAGTGCCCAGCTTACAAAATATTGAACGCAATTTGAAATAAACGTCCACATTTACAGATATTAGGCCTGGGTGATTTTTGGCAGAATGTCATGTATATATGATTTCATCAGCACAGCATTCTGAAGAAAAACATATCGCATTGTAAGGAAAATATTTTCTGCAAAGGGAACTTGGATTCACATAAAACATGCTATTCGTTTTTCAAACGCACATACGCCTATTTTTTTACTGGAAGGTCATTAAAAGTCCACATATCTAGCAAAACACTTTAATTATATATGTCATTCAGCTGTAGGTATATATGGCTCGACATTGTGGTGTGGTTGTTTTGTTTCCCTGAATATCTGTCACGTTTTTCACTGACACAGGGGCAGAAGTCACATCAAGCTTTATTGAAGGCTAGTCTGTGAGAATATGATTACAGTCATGTGGTGAAATTGAAATTTATACTGATACTGTCACACACAGGAAGTTTGCAGAGGTTGTTCATAACAGAATCCACCTTTGCAAAGACAGCCTTATGCAAATAAAAGATGTATCTTTATATATCTATAAAAATGTGCCAACAAGTCAACACAAGTGTTGTCTTGGATACTTATGACAAAATACACCATACACACACACACACACATACATGTAATTTCCCCCCCCAGATTTGCTTTGGCTTTAAAATGAGTTTTTTCTGCCAGTACAGGGAAAGGAAAAAAGTGTAATTTAGATTGAGGGTCATTTAGACAGTGAAGCAGCAGTTTGTGTAGTTTATGGTTATCTGAGACACAAGGGCCATTTATTTTTATTAAAAGGTCAATAAGCCAGAGCCACAGGCTATGACACAGCATGGTGCATGTGTGTGTGTGTGTGTGCTTGTGTGTGTGTGTGTGTGTTGAAAGGGGTGGGAACACCTACTGAGTAAACCTACAGTAATCACCAGGGCGCCTCATTGGTCAAGACAAACACATAACCACTGTTTCCCTATTTTTTTCTACCAGTGAGAAGCAGGCTTCAGGGATAACAACATTTATTAAAATAACAGGAAAAACAGTAATTACATTTCACCCTGCAATCAGGCCGGGCTGCGAGAGCATGTGTGGTGTGGTGCGATCCAGGAGGGCCTGAGTTCTTACCTGAATCAGCAGTACAGCAGTAACTTATCTCGGGAAAACTGGAATAGTACAGATCCATTGCCTGTAACAGAGTCATGTACAATGTATTAAATATCTGTATTGAAATCTTTAAAAATGACATGTCCTGCACCCCCCACACCAATGCTGCTAATTGCAGGCATTGCTTGAATGACACCTTATGTCTTTGGGGTGAGAGGTCAGGAAACCCGCTTCTTTGCCCCAGCGAGGTTCCTGGACACTGACTGGGAGAGGAACACTGCTTTACGACATGTTCTCTCTCCACCCAGTTAACACACGTCAGCAGCGCTATCAGCCCCTGACCGTGACGCAGGCAGCTGGAATGAACAGAGAAATAAAAAGGGATCCATCTGCCAAGTTTCCATCCCGAGACAGATCAGCCTATCAGGTACCAGCATACAGGTAAGGGACCTGAAGAGAGGGAAGATGTCTGTATGT